GTTGCCGGCAGCGCCCTTCCAAATCTTTATGCTGAATTTCTGCTTAATGCAAAAGTTGATAGCTTATATGTGCATTTATACATGCATCCTGACATACGACGCAAATATATTTAGGCACATTCAGTTGTCCGGAGTATTCTGCATCTACCTACCAAAGGTGTTTAGAAGGCATTTCAAAATAAATTGTTTGGTAATTAAATAAGCAACATATATTGATATCTGAATAATGCTAACCTTTTCTGAGTTATCGGATGAAAACATTTTGAAATGTTTTATCATTCCAGCTGCGTGAGGAATTATTGGAAGACCATGTTTTCCGATGGTAAAGTGTTCTTGGGGGTGTACGCTGAGGACTACATCCAAAGTCCCTTTTTTGCCGTGACAGCGATAAACACCCGAGTCTCGGATACTAGCATTATCAATCCGAAGGACTAGTCTTCCTCGGTCATCTCTCATTTGGTAGACAGTAGTTTCGACCTGTGGTTTCGGCTTTTGTTGATATTTCTGACTAGAGTCATACAAGAACCTATCCTTTTTAAGGTCATTGGGGTGTTTTGATTGGGGGTGTGGACCGATTTCTCTTCCCGCAAAACCCCGGTCACTTTCGTACGTCCACTTATTTCCTCCACAACAAATAAAATAAGCATCATGTCCCACGACTGTTGAAATGTTTCTGGGACTTTCAATAACAATTGAAGCTTCCGGATCACATGAGTTTGTCGTATAAACAGAAATCAAAATAAAAATCCATTTTAACAGAATTAATATAGAAAACTCCTGAAGATAAATCATTGACGGGCTTAAAACCCCACAATTATGACATAAATGTAAATTGGTTTATTAAAACAGATATGAATCCACACAATTTTTATAAAATTCCTACTAAATTTTGATACAAAGGTGGCTTTTCACAAAACAAAACACCTAATAAGGTTTTATATAAATAGTTAATAGGTTTCGCTTTACATGACCTCATACTTGTTTTTTAATCATAGTAATAATTGTTGTTAATGCCACTGTTCATAACATTTCAAAAGAAAGATGCCAAAATTTCGCACAAACAGCAAAGAACTCATGAGCGCAGTATACATTTACTTGATTTATTGACTAATTTGTGATATTCTGGAGAAAAGTCTGCCTCCGGTAATTTTTGGTAGCTTGGATCGGGGACGAGTCACGGAAAAAAGCAGTGGGTGCTCGCAAGTTACACTGCATTTTATGGAACTGGATTTTGTATGAGCAAAGGAGATATGAGCGAACAGGTTTCTTTTTATAGGTTGAGG